GCTGGACTACATGGCTCGCTGCTGGGGACAGGACAGTGTCGCCAGAACCTGAGTCCATGGCAGACTCAGGGTTCTCCTTATCTGCCATTTCCCTTCTCAGAAAGCCTCTTTCTGCCTAAAATGGTGGCTTTAAACACTCGCAATTCCTGAGAGTGCTTCTCAACTGTGAGAGAATTCTGCCTGCTGTTCTGCTGGGTCCTGTTCAGGAAACTGTGCCTCAGAAGTGCAGCCACATTGACAAGCAACACTGCCTTTGGACACCAGAGAGGCAGCCACGAAATCCTTCTTTCCTTCCTCTGGTGGGATCTTGGGGTGTCGTTCTTTAGTAGACAATGGTCCAAAGCTTATGCTGTGAACAGATTCCTGAAGGAAAAATAATCTGGGAGTGACACCGATACCGCCAAGGAGCCCTGGAGCTGCGGACAGCAGATCAGTGGTCAGCACAAAGGCAGTTTGTGCAAAGGCCTGCAAAACTGTCAGCTACAGGGAGGTTTAGTAAAGCGCCAGAGAGCAGGAACTGTTGCCAGAAAGAGTTCACCTGCACGATAGTAACTGTAAGAAGAAATCAAGAGTGGGGAACCAGGGCTTTGCTACTTCACTTAGAAGCCCAAGTTTTCTGTTGTTTCCAAGAGCAATTTCTGTCAATCCTCCCAGCACTCTCCTGGTTGCCCACTTGCTCCCTCCAGCATCACAGTGACTGCAGGAACAGTTCCAGAGCTGTTTCTCAAAGAGCCTCCAGGAAATGCACAATGCAGTTTATTTTAAATTCCAGTGTGCGTGAGCGTGTGTGTGTGTGTGTGTGTGTGTGTAATGTACGTGTGTGATACGACGTTTAAAAAGCAAGGCTTTTTTTTAATACTAGTCTGCCCGTTTTCTTTTTTATTAATTTTATTGGTACATTTTAGGTATATAATATAATGACGTTCATCTTTGGAAATTTGTAATTTATACAATATGTCTTAGTTCTTATTTTTTGCCCCTTCCCACTGAAAGCAAAGCTTTTGTAAATAAGGAGGGGGAGAAGGGCTAAAGTAAGAGAATGGGGATGGGAAAAGTAAGAATCAAGGTATGTCATGTACGGATACAAATTCCCTGTGATTAATGTGATCACTATGTGTATCAAAAGTATGCCAGTAAAATTAATTTAAAAATGACTTTAAAAGAGCAAAGGAAACAATCAAAAGAATGGAACATCAATTAGTAAAATGGGAGAAGACATTTGCCAACTATTCATCTGACAAAGGGTTAGTATCCAGAATATGAAAAGAAGTAAAAAATTAAAAACAAAAATGCGATCAAATTAAAAGTGGGAAAGTGATTTGAATAGACAGGTCTCAAAAGAAGAAATACAAGTGGCCAATAAATACACAGTGGAGTCTTATTCAGCCATAAAGAATGAAATCCTGTCCCTTGCAAAAATATATATATATATATATGGAATGGAGGAAATCATGTTAAGTGAAGTAAGCCAGACGTAGAAAGACAATAATTATCTGTTCTGTTTCATATGGTGTAATAATAATAATAATAATGTCAATCTGAAAATAGAAAAAGAACAATCAGGGACTGAGAAGGGGCCATTCCAGGGATGGGGTAGGGGTAGAAAATGGATGGAAGGACATGATCTACACACAGTGTACGCACACATAGAAATATCTCAGTGAGACCCATTACTGCAAAATTAGCCTGTATTAATAATAATAAAGATGTGATTGGCTACAATGGAGGGGTGGGACTTTGCAAAGAAATTCAGTTGTAATCCATGATAATAGTGACATTTTAAAGTGCAGCGTAAATGTTGCCCTAGTCAACATCAACAAAAGAAATTGTCAGCATGGCCCTCTGAGCTCTGAGGGGCTGAACTCAGAATTTTCTGAGGTCCACCAACTGCCCAGCAGACAGGACCTTTGAGGTCAGCTCAGCTGCTTCCGCAGCAAGCCCCTTCCCTCAGCCCTGCTCAACCTGTGCACCACCCGGCCATCAGGGTTACAGTCTGGGGCGGAACTCTCCAGGGCACACTGAGTACTTGTGAGCCCTGAGCGTGGAGATGAACCAGCACTGCTTCGTGCTGCCCAGCACCTCTGTAATCAGCTTTGGTTCTCCGTTCCTGGGACGGCAGCATTGCTCTGCAGGACTGGTGTAGAGCTCTTCAGTTCGTCACCACTCCAGATGTCTCTGGATACCACGGGCTGAGCAGCAAAAGAGCTTGCGATAGGCAGCCAGACTGCATCTGGAGCCTCACCACCATTTTGTGCTGGACAAAGCACCCAAATCCCACATTCTGTTTGGCAGAGAACTTGCTGCAGCGGCAAGATATTTTTCTGTAGCTCACCCAGTGTATGGAACTTCCTCTTGCTCCACTAACCTGGTGTGGTCCTGCTTCTGTAAAATTCTGCTTGCTCTCGCCTGAGCCCTCTCCAACTGAAAGCATGATTTAACAGGGGAAACCAAACCGCTTCTCGGGCCGAGAGTTCTTTCTGGGCACTAGCCCCTCTCAGTCGCTGGCTTTAAATAAACGGACCAGAATCTGACTCACAGTGAGGTGCATCTCTATAGTTCCATCTCGCTCAGTTACAACAAGTTGGGTCTCTGAACACATGCCCAGGACTCAGTGTTTCAGAATGATGGAACAGAGATGCCAGATAAAAAAGCTACAGAACCTGTGTGGATGAAGCCCCTATATTTCTTCATTGGATTGATACTTCCTTTTCACATATCAATTTATGATTGATCTGATTCTTTTATCATTATTCATTTATTAAATGATGCTATTAATGATGTCATGTCCAGATGCCCCCAAGGCCTCAGGCAGTCATAGGAGGCTTTTCAGAGGTGGCTGGATCAGTGTGTGATGCTGGGATTAAGGGCATAGGGCTACTAAACCAACACTCTGATTGGTTGAGATAAAAGGAGAGAAAGACACTGTTAAGATTTTCTTGTTTCTTTGCTATCACAAGGGCACCATGGACTGTTTCTCCTCTGCCATGGCCCTGCCTTGGAGCCAGCTAACTATGAACTGAAACCTCCACAAACTGCAAGCTAAGCAAACCTCTCCTCCCTTAACTTTGGGTTAAAGTCTCAGCAATGAGAGAAAAGTAACTAAGGCAAATGACTACTTTTTCATATTTCAGGAAAATTTAAAGTAGAAAGCTTCAAAACTAGAAAATTAGATGGCCATTATGCGTCTCCAGTTCTCATCATTAACCTCTTCTGTGTCTCAACCTGGCCTTCCTTAAAAGTAGCAGACTCTGGGGACCTCTTTGAACACCTCCCATTTCAAAATTCCAGGTGTTGGTGATATGGCTATAGCCATGAACCCATTCAGTTTATCATTTACCTCCATCAAATTAAAAATATTACAGTAAAAGACACATTGCCACTAATTTCTCTCAAAATACTCCCCCATGGTTTGAATGTATTTATCCCATCATTCTTGCCACTTTCTGAAGCAGTTCTGGAAGTTTTCTTCATAGGTATCTTTTCACAGCTCCTTCAATGTCCTGAGTCAATTCAAAATATTTACAACAATTTCTGTCACGTGAAAACATCGCAGTGTGTCCTCGTCCACCTTATTCACTGCATCTGGTGCCTTGAGACTTCTCTCTCTGCCCCAAAGTCAAAATGACCAGGAAAGGTGAACATTTTAAATTCATTCAGGACTTTGACACAGGCAGCCAGGACAGCACAACTGAAGAGACTCAGGAAAGAGGACTCCAGAGCTGCTTCAGAAAGTGGCGAGGTCAATGGGATGAGTGTGTTCAAAGCAGGGGGTGTACCTGTGGGGGATTCAGGGCAATGTGTCTTTTATTATAATAATTTTAAATTTAAATATTCATTATATTTTTATTATACTTCATATACTCAAGAATCTACATATCTATTCCTTTATTCTCTCTGGCTATTTCTATCAATCTATATTGGTTTACCATCTAAATCTATCTTGTCTGTCTTAACAATCTATTCATCTATCTTTATCAATCTGTCAATTGACAATCTAGGTCTTTAGCTATCATATCTTTTTAAAGTTTTTATTCATACATGTTTGCACTACACAATGATTACATTCATTGTGGGGAGTTGGTACATGTACATACAATTTATTTTGTCTACATATACTATTTTATACACTCACATAGTTTTTCGATGAACAAATTTAGGCCTTGAAAAACAATTTCTCAGCACATACTGCTTTTTGCTTTTCTAGAACTGCAGCATTTTTGTGTAATTTTCCTTTTCATTGATATTGATATTGGCTGAGCCTATTGGCAGGTATGTGGTTTTGGCTGGTGTGGATGTCGTGCTGTCCCTGTGGAGAGAACGTGGCTTCATCTGATTTTATTTCAGTGAAAATCATCCTACTTGGACTGAGTGTTTTGCCCTGGGGAAAGTTGATTTGGGAAGACATTTGGAGCTGTGGATTCATCATTCCTGTGATTTTACTTCATGCTCTCTACACAACTATTTTTTTCTTCTTTATTTTTTTTGTTTGTTTGGTTGGTTTGTGGGGGGATTGTTTTTGTTTTGATTTTTGTTTTGCTTTTTGAAACAGGATCTTGCTGTGTAGTTCAGGCTGAACTTGAACTCACTATGTAGCCCAGGCTGGCTTCGAACTTGCAGCAATCCTCTTGTGTCAGCTTCCTGAGTGCTGGGATTGCAAACATGCACCACCATGCCTGGCTCATACCTACTTGCTTTTCCTCTGTTCTTAACCTCCCCAGACTTCATGCCCTTAATATGTAATACTTAAATCATATTTGGGAAAATATTTAAGTATACACAACTTTCAAATTATAAAGATAAGCAAATTTTGTTTTCATATTTTTGCTTCTATTTTTTAATTTCCTTCACAGCTCGCCAGTTCTTCAGGAAAAGCCACAGACATGTCTACCTCCAGGACGATGGGAAAAGGAGGACTCCCTAAAAGAAACTACGTGTCTGAGTCATGAGAAGGTGCTCAACTCAGGGTCCCCCTCTGTAAATGAGGAGTTCTGAGATCTCTATTTGCTAATATTTTATGGGAATAAAGCATTTTATTCAATTCATTAGCAGAGTCAGTCTCAAGTCCCAACTCCAGAGTTTCCAGAATAAGATCTGCAGTGTGGACCCTGCAGTCAGAGGCCACAAACCCACACGTACACAGAGGGCTGGGGCTGAGGCTGGGAGGTGCCAGGTCCTTCCGGTCATATTTCTCAGGAATCCATGAGAACCTAGGGTGGGGTAGCTCTTCCAAATCTGGCTGCAACTCAGGTGAGTCTAAACGCTGGTTTCCCGCTGTCACTCAGTGCTCCTGATCTATCTCCAGAAAGAATTGGTCAGAAAGAGTCTCAGACTGGTGCAGTTAAAGAGTCCATTCCTCCTATCTGGGCTCTACCATCCCGCACTCACTGCCTCCAGTCAGGACCACCCTAGAACTGATAGCCATGAGACACCAGTTGGTCCCGTAAATGTCAAGCAATCACTGCTATTGTGTAAACAAAAACCTCAGCCACATTCTCAGATCTTCTCCAACTCCTTCCATATTCTTGGAGATGCTATGGAGGAGTCCTGAAGTTCACCACCTCGTCTGCTCGGTCACATCCTGCATGAACCTGGTTGAGCCCTGAGATTCAGGACCTTCTACCCCTGGATAGAGTTGAAGCACCACATGCAGCATACGGTGTGTGGTATCCTCAGAGACCCCAAGAGGGTCAGATGTCCAGCTGGACATCATGCAGGAATTAGCTGCCCTGAGACAGTCCTTAGCCAATGGGAGAAGAGGGAGGAGAGAGAACTAGACACATACATTATGCCTTTCCTCACGTCATCTTTGCCCCGAACTGTGTGTGATTCCCGCTTTGTGCACATTGACCAGCAACACTGAAAAAGTAGCTCTTGGCAATCCTTGGTCTCATCCTGCCTCTTGGTGAATGATTACCTTGCTGTAACAAATAGTAAAGTTACTGAAAGGGGCCTCTCTCTCTCTCTCTCTCCCCCTTTCAGGCACCTTCTTACCACCTTGGACTTGACCCTCCCAAATTCACTGTGAGCACAATGTTGTTGTACTTGGCTTCTAATTTCCAGAGAAGCCAATAGCCTAAGTCTATTGGTGCCACCACAAACCGGGCTTTATTTTCATAAATCAGATCCTCCAGATGGAACTTTGCAGAGGATGGCTCACCTACCTGGGAGGTGTGGGGCCCCCCACAGATGGCAATGCCCTCCCGCGAGCAGTGAGGACCCGTGGTGGACAGTGTAGGTGGGGCCAGATCTTGGCAGAGTGGCTCACAGTGGACCCAGCAGGGAGCACTGAGATGATGGGGTGTGAAGGCTGCTTCTGATAGCACTGGAGATGCTGCAGAACCAAAGGGTAGGGACCAGGCGGTCTATTTCCAACAACAACATGCTCGTTTGAATCACCATCCTACCACGGGCCGAACTGCAGAGTGAAGAGGAGTATCTGATGGAGAAGACATCGAGAAGTCAGCGGGGGGGGGGGGGGGCACACCCTCAGCAGACCTCCTGTCAGTCTGGGCCCAGGGAAAAAAGAACTGGAAGTTTAGGGTGAGAAATTCTGACAAATCAACACCAAAATGTTTAACCCAAATTCTCCTGAACCCTGCACACTGGCAGAGTATGCCCCTTCTACGGGACAGAGAGAAAGCTTGGCTTTGTTTAGTGGTGCCCACCTGGAGCAGGTCGCTCACCACTGGGCTCTGGTTCTCTGCAGGTCTGGTTCTCAGCCAACCTGGTTAAGACCAGGACACAAGCAGAGTCGCTGAAGCACCAGCACTAGTGGTGGATCAGCATAAAGGATCAGCATAGGCAGCAGTGAAATGTGCAGCAGTGGCCACCACGTGGGCCTGAACAGTGGAGAGGGGTGCAGGGTGCAGCCATGATTTGGGATTTACTGTTCTGTCAAGATGCCCTGGAGTTGGCCCCAAATATTTGAAGAAGCTCCACGAGAAGAAGAATGAAGGGTGGCCTATGGTTAATGAAGTGGATCTGCCAGAATTTTTAGTACAGCATTAAAAGAGGAAACAGGAGTTCAGAGGTTGGAAATTACAGAAATGGAGAGGCAGGTGACGCAGGCATCCAGAGTCTTTTCACAAACACGGTGACTGTTCTGTGCGGGGAGAACTAGGACATCTCTGAGGGTGGGTACCCCGGTCCGGAGGTCTCAGTACTCCAGGATGGAAGCGATGGGGCCAAGGGTTGGGATCCACTCCCTCTGGGATCACAGTGGGCAGAAGTGACAGAGTTATGGCAGTGGATCGGGGACCTTGTACCTCTGGGGTCTCACGGTCTCTGAAGGTCACAAACTAAGACAGCACTCAAGTCTCAAAACCAAATCTCATGGAATGGCTCCAACAGGAGCAAGAGGAAATCTGGTGTCTGACAATCTGGTGTCTTTGTGGCAGTGATTCATAAACCGTGCTTTTCCTAGGAATGAGACAGATGAGCAGCTGACTCAGGGCCACATGATTTCACCATCACAGGAACTTGTAAGTTAATGCCAGACTGCAGAAATGCTCTCCTGATCTTGTTCAGGGAAAGTGGACCAGCCAGAGATCTCAAGATGGAGCCAGACTCTGAGTCCGAAACACTGCCAGCAGCCCAGGCAGGACTGGAAGCTCAGAGAAGCCAGGTAAAGAAAGGGGATTTGGGTGGGAACTAGGTAGCTCCGACAGTTAGGGTCCTGGCCCCAATGTGGAGAAGTCACCTAGGACCCCGATTTCAGTACTTTATCACCTGTGCCCACTACCCAGGATGCTGCTGCTCAAAGCACTAGCACCCATGGGAAGGGACTGGACACTGCCAGGAGACAAAACCTGAATTCCATGATGTGGCTGCTCCACAGACTTCCTGGACACTTCAGCTCCTCACCCCAGAGAACCACTGGAGAGTGGAGCTTCACCCTGGCTGCACGCTGGTCTTCAGTCTCACAGCCCACCACAGGCGCAGGGAGCAGTGTGCTGGACACCACTTGTGTCTCGCACTCTCCTGCCTCAGCAGCTGCTGCTTCAGGGACAAACAGCCGCACAAAGAAAAGGAGACGGACAACCCGGGGTGTAGAGCTTTGGCTGTCCAGGTCTGGGCCACCCCTCCCTACCAGGAACCACACAGGCCAAAGTGGTAGAGAGAGGACCCTACGGAGAACAAAGGAATGAAGGTGGTCGTTGTTCATGGACTCAGAGCCTGCACCTGGATCACCAAGGCTTTAGTCAGTGGCTCACCAGACAGAAGCAGCCGTGCAGTGCAGGTCAGGGAGGAAGGAGGCCACTGCCTGGCTGGACCTTAACTGCCGCCTGGGGAGCACGTGGATGGGCTCATCCCTACAGGGGAGCAAAGCCAGATGAGGGTCCCTGTCACAGCATGCAACCAGAACACGGGCATGGGGATGTGTCAGCATCCCTGGGGAGTGGGCCGCATGATGCTTCCTGCGTGACTCCAGGAAGCTGCCTCCATTCCTCCTCAAGTCTCCCCGAAGCACACTGTGCCCCGGACCTCAGGGCGAGTCAGGCCTCCTGAGACAACTGCACCAGCCTCCTCTTACTAGTCTTGCTGATCTGCCCGGGTCACTTCCCACTCCCTCGGTGCCTTCCGGGGCCTAAATGACACCATCAGAAGTCCCGAGGGTCAGGTCCATGGAGCAGAGCCCCGAAGAGGAGAGCAGGACTGATCCCCTCGAGAAGGCTCAGGATCCGCCTACCTCTTCCCAAACGCATGAGCAGAGAAGCCCAGTCTGCTTGTTGCTCTGTCTGTTTGCAGCCACACGGATCACCATACCACACATTGCCCGTCCTCCATGTCCTTTCTCTGCCCTGCACCAGCTGTAGACTCCAAAGTACAGACAGAGCCGTGACTCAGGCCACTGTCCACGAGGCTCTAATTGCGCAATGGCCCTTTGCAAATCACTGTCCCATCGAGTACGATCAACTGTCCAACTGTCCGTAATGAAGACTGGCCTTGAGTGTGATGGGAGGCAGGAGAGGGGCTTACAAATCAGGGATGGAAAGTTCCTTCGGATCTGAGGCTGAGCACTGGAAAGAGTTTGCCAGGATCAGTGTCTGGCTCCCAGAGGACGCTGAAGCTCAGAGCAATCTTGCAACTTTCTGAAGGTTATGTAACCACACATTAGCACCACTGGGACTAGAACCCACGTCTGAGGAGCCTTACACAGCAGCACTTTCCACTGTGTTGTTTTATGTCCGGCAAGGACTGAGAAATTCCCTCTCACTGTGCCCAGTACAGTAGTTTCCAGAAACTGGATATTTGAGCCTGAGCATACCCAGGATGATGCAGACATGCTATCAGACTGTGCAGCACGAGCAGAAGTGCCCTAGCAATGCCAGTTCCTGGACCTGGCCATGAAGGATGCTGATGCCTGTAATTACCATTTTCATTGTTCCCAGTGCAATCCCTGCCCTTGTAATTCCACATGCTCACAGAGTCCATTCACACAGATTCCAACTTTTAATACAGAAACAACTTGAGATTGATGGTCCATAAGTCAGTTGAACATCTGTCTTTTCCCCCAAGCCCGACCACTAGTGGGTAAATGGTCAAAACTGAATTTCTGGAGCTACGAGTTTGAGTATTCCAGGTCCTAGACCATTTGAGTAATTCCTAGGGACCAGCTTAATTTCTACACAATCTGAGGCCTCTGTACTCAAGATTACTGCTGGGAAATAACTGCTCCAAAGCACCTGTAAGTACCCTACTAGGCTAGAAACGAGTGAGACTTTCCAACACCCAGCCTGCTGCCAGAGCTGTGTCCAGAGAACAGGAATGGGGTGATATTCTGCTCCCTTACATAATGCACAACGCCAAGGAACCCAGTTCCCCATCCCGAAGATGAAGGCTGGGAACAGGCATCTCTGAGGACTGCTTACCTTCCACACCCGGTGATTCATGATGAAGTCATTCTTAATGTATTTTTTGCTTTCTTGTTTCATTAAGTTCAGTCTCCCAAACTCTTTATTGCTTCTGTTTACAGATCTATTTTTAAAATCACAACGCCTAGTTCTCCTCTCAAGAAATATCAGAGAATTTAATTAACTTCCACGAAATATTTTGAGATGAGGTGCAAGTGGAGGAGAGGTTATTTGCACTGCCAGCACACACAAGTGAGTCCTATTGTAGCCCACAGGCACTGGCACCCCACCTCACAGGCTTGGAGGGGAGTGATAGAGCTTCTTAAAATGCAGGGCTCTTGAAGTTTACTCTTTGCTCTCAGCTATTACATAATGCATGAGGACATTATATTAATGGGAACAATTTGGTAAGCCTAAAAAAGACAGAAGAAAATGTACTTAATCATAAGAATACTTGCAATTCAGCTATATTTTTCATAAATATTGAAATGTTCTGTGCATTCTGGGTTTACAGAAAATAGACTGATTCACTCCTAATGCACTCCTAAAAGTTTATTTATGTACTTTTTGTGCATAAGAGGAAGACAATGAGCAGAGGAATATGCTTAAAGAATAAGAGAACAGCAGAAAAAGCTAGGGAAAAAGGATGCAATGCATTGATTCATTTGACAGCATTTGATTTCATTACTCAGACCAAAAAGAAAGAAAGCAAACACAAACTATCCAGATAACAAAAGCATTAAAACATACTCCTATCACATTCACTTTTCTGGAGAGATTTCTAGAGGTGGCCCGAGGAGATCATAATTGTGTTCAGCACAGACAGGTGAAAAATAGTCCTCAATAAAATTGGCAAAAGGCAGTATGGAGTTTCCCAACTTCTAGATCCCTTCTGATTATGTTTCCTTCTAGTTAACATAATTTACCTCACCTGATATCACATCTTCCAACAGAGCCTACATTTCCTGTGGCATTCAGGATGCCTCCCATGTCCAACTGAAGTAGTCACTGGCGTCTACACCAGAGGCGGAACAGGAGCTGGACAACGGCATCCTGAGAATCGGGAAAGCTTGTGTGGCAAAGGGAGAACGTCGTGTGGTGTCAGCTCCGCACTCTGAGAGCCGAGGATCGAGGCTCAGGCCCTGGCCGCCTACCTCTGAAGCAGTGTGCCCTGGCTTTGCCTGGTTTAGCAGTTTCCACAGCAGGAGGGGCAGCGTGCGGGTCCAGGCATCTGCCACACGGTGACTCTGTTCCCAGGGAGACCGCTCAGACTGCTCCCCAGCTTCCTCTCCGCTCACCACCAGCCCCCGCGAGCAATGCACTGCCTTCCCGAGCAGGGGGTCTGTGCCCCTTCCATTTCACTTCGCCCTGTTCCACTGCAGGTTTTCCTTCCTATTAGCGTGTGTGGGACACAGCACAGTGCGTTCGTTTTAGAGATGGGGCTTCTGATCGTTTCCACCACCCTAACCCACCCCCAACCCCTCTCCCCATCTCTAAGAAATCTGTCTTTTGGTTTCCCCCCATCTTTCCTTTTTTACTCCTTTATTTACTTTGGTTTAGGTTTCTCATACAAGAGAAGGCCTGCAGTGTTTAACTTTCTGGGTCTGACTTATTTCACTGAACATGACGGCTTCGACTTCCATTCATTCCCTGCAAGTAATAGAATTTCATTCTTCATGGCTGAATAGTATTCCATTGTTTATATTGCATTCCACATTTTCTTTATTTGTTCATCTATTAATGCGAGTCTAGGCTGTTTCCAGAGTTTGCCTGTTGTGAGTTGCTGTGCTAAAAACATGGATATGCATATATTACTATAATAAAGTGTTTTTAGCGGCTTCAGGAACATACCATGAGAAGTACAGCTGAGTCAAATGGAATTTCTATTTTTTACTTTTGCAGGAATCTCCATGAAGATTTATATACGGTTATGCTCATTTCCATTTCCACCAACAATGTACAAGTATTCTTTTTCTCCACATTCCTGCCAGCATTTGTTGGTTTTTGTGTTCTTGATGATAGCCATTCTGACTTAAGATGGAATCTTATATGCTTTTATTTGCATTTTCCTAATGGCTAAGGATGATGAATATTTTTTCATATACTTATTGACCATTTGTAGTTCTTTTTTCAGAGCTGTCTATTCAATTAATTTCCCAGTTTTGATCAGGTCATTTGGTTTTGTGGGTTGTTTGGGGTTCTTTATGGAGTCCAGATATTAGCCTTGTATCGAGAGAGTAACTGGCAATGTTTTCCCCTTCCACATGTTGCCTTTTCCCTCTCTTGATAGTTTCCTGTGTGCTGATTTTAGAGACTGTGGTCCCTGGACTGTGGGAAAGCGAGGCTTTTGTGGAAAAAGAAGTGAATGTCGGAGGTGATCAGAAAGAGAAAGACTGATTCCTGCCTCCGTGAACTTGTGATGACGAGGAACAGAAAGACACGTGTTTCTAAGGGCAGCCTTTTACAGTCCATTTCCAGTTGACTCCCTGGCGGGATCAGAGCCCGGGCTTCCGTCCTCGAGGCTGGGCTCTAGCACTCTCCACAGGGCAGGACCTCCCTGTCCTCCGCTTGGAAGGGCTGGGTCTCTGCCAACGAGGCTGTGATCGCCAGAGCAGGAAATGGAGAAGTCGCGGAGGTTCCCGGCTTCCTTCCTGTCCGTCCCTCTGCACCCACGAGCAGCCCTCTCTTCCTTCCCTCTCCTCCCTCTCGGCGCTGCATGGTCATATTTAAGTCACACTCATCTCGGTGTGCTGCTCTGGTCTCTGCCCCTCCCACTTTCTACCCCTCGGGGTCACACCCTTGCCAGCGGCAGGCGAGACACGGGCCCAAACCGAGGCCCTCTTGCTCTAAGTCGAAATGTCAGACTCCCCATCCCCAAGAGGCCTCTTTGCACCTCTGAAGCTTGTTTTGGTGGAGGCTGGAAGCTCTTCCCAGGCTGGCAAACTCTGAGTCACCTTCCCGTGCTTCTTCCCACCGCCCACATCCGGTCTGTCCACACACTCCGAGTGCACAGGGCTCTCTTTCTCCCAGCTCTCCTTATTCCCGTGGACGCTGTGCTAGCACAGGCCCTCCAAACCCCTGCCTGAACTCCCCTCTAGCAAACCCGCTAGCTCCCCCGTGACATCGGCATCCCTCAGAGGTCAGAGGTGTGGAGTCCTGGCCCTGCCCCAGGCCCGCTGGCTCAGGACCTGTGTTCTCGGCCCTGGGTGATGCTTGAGCACAAGGAAGCTTGGAAGTCGAACTCCTCAGTCGCTGCTCTCTCCCTAGTGCCCTTTTATGTTAAAACACAGGACGTTCAGACCTCCCAGCCTTCCCGCTAGTCCTGTAAAGTACGCAGGACCGCGTGTGGCGTGGGGGCTTCCAATACACAGAGCTGAGCCCGACTCTAGGCTCCCTTCCCACCGCCACTCACCAATGAGAGGAACGGGCCACACGGCTCAGGCTCCGCTCGCTCTGTGCAGCGCGCTTTGCAAAGCACCCGCGTGGTCAGGGGCGGCCAGGCTGATGGCGCGGGCTGTGACACAGACGCTCTGACGCCACGACCTCTGCTCCTGGCCCTGCCGCCTCCCGGCTGAAAGCTGCACAAGCACCGTGCAAAGGGAGAGCAAACCCAGGCTCCATTTCCAGCAAAGCTAGGAGACAGGTGTAATCCGAGAAACACAGGAGGCCGCTGCAGGTCCCTGCGCTAGGGCCAGATCTGTGCCACACTGACCTGAGGCAGGAGGAACCGGAAGTGTGAGGCGGCCCAGGCGGTGGCCTCTCCCAGAACGCACCCCCGGGCTGAGCTGGCTCCTGTGAAGATGAAGCCACTAATGCAACAGCTGACAGGGAGTTGGGAAATTCTCAGGGAAGCACTGTGGTTCAAAGGAGGAAACAATGGGGCCATCAAGGAAGTGCAGGGAGGGGCCGGGGCCCTTGCAGGCTCCAGTCTTCTCTCCTTGGCAGTGCAGGGG